CCCCAATACTGTGAGCGAGTCTCTAGTTCTTTTTATAGTCGCAGCGTGTCTTACTCCGGGTCGTGCATGCCTCAGAGTAGTGGGGCTGGTCCGTCAGGATTTGTTTTCTGAAGAAAAGAATCAGGGGTAGGGCAAGCGCACTGCCGCACAGGGTTTGCTTTGCTTTCAGCTTTCTGATCTGAAGAGGAAAAGTTCAGAGTGGGGTAGACGATTCACTAGCTGCTGGCAATTCCGATGCCGCCACCGGCAGGCAGCTGCAGGAGCTACTGTACGTAGATATATAGCCAAGAGTCCAAGCCGCCCATGGCGCCTTGTCCCTCCGGCGCACATGCATGGCGCTTGGAGCATGCCTTTGCGACGCGAGGCGAGACGAGCCTGCATGCCACGGCACGGCACGCCATGCCGCAGCTGGGCGCGTGAGGCGACGGGTCATCTCAGCAGCGCTGCTTTCCGGTCAACTTTTACCGCGCGCTCCATGTCCATTCTCCCGTACTGCCAGCAGCAGCACCACCACCACGCCCGCCCAATGCCGGAGGGGGTCTGGCCTGCTGTCAGGTATCTTTCGTCACATCACCTGGGACTGGGAGGTGGTGTCGCCACTCGCCACCACCTGCAGACCTGATGGAGTACATCGCATGCATGCATGATGGTGCCATGATGCCCGCCCCCCCCCCGCCGCCGCTCTCGTCGAGCTCCTCTGCCGCTCGCTCGGTGACACGAGGGCTCGTCGTCACTCCTGTAGTCCTCGTCCTCTCTGAAGACTTGGGCGAGTGCCGATCAGTGGTGTGTCCTGTGGCCAGCACTGTGCGCCGTTCCTGTGCAGACGGGAGCCGCATGTGCACTGACCTGTCTCGGCAAAAGCCTCATTGGCCGCTGCCTCTCCTGAGCGAGAGGCTCTGAGCCCTGATCCTAGATCATGCCGCTGCCGCTGCTGTCTGCGTCATTCTACATGAGTAGCAATACTCCTCCGTGTATGTATCTCTTCCGCTCCATGGTCCACAGACGTTATCCAGTATCAAGTCTTCCTTTTGCAGCAGTAGTGCGTGCAATGCAGTAACCGGTCCACAGCTAGAGCTAGGCCATTGCCTGGAGCCCTGGACTGGAGCTCCAAAACCGCAAAACACTCCGTGCAAATCGTTGGACTCAAATTACTGGAACTCAAGTGATCCAAGGCTAACACTCACCTGCAAGCTAAGCAAATCGAAGCAAAGCATAGCACAGCATATAATAGTCAGCACTGCCGCCACTGCAGAAGGTCACTCACCCACGCACTGCACCGAGAATAATCTGGGATTCCCATCCAATTCCAAAAGGTTTCCGTGGAGGCGTGGAGCCGATCACGGATCGGCGATCGCCTCCAGAGAAGGAACCCTCTTCCTGCGCCCTCTCGGCTCGGGACCAATAATTCAGGTTCAGAGAGCAGGACACGCAGGTCGTCCGGCTATCTAGCAGCACCCTAGCAGGCTACAACCCTAGCTCTTGCTCCCCACATGCATGCGTGCGCGATCAACGAGCGCTATGCGCGGTGGCGCCAGTGTCTGGGCCGTGAACAACTCGGGGTGCCACAGTGCTCGCTGTACTGCTGTGTAGTGGCGTTGCTCGTCCTCCGCCTTGATGGTGTCCAGAGGCCACACGACACAGGGTCAAAGGAAAGACCACACGAGTCCTAAGGTACCAACGCACTGTTCTAGTAGTACATGTACCATGCAGTGCGCGGAGCTGTGAGGCTCCGGACTATGCAAGGCTGCAGTGGCGAGACCGCAACGTCACACCGAGTGTCTGTGCCTGTCACCGTAGGCGCGCAAACGGAGCAGTGTTTCCAGGTGCAATGCTGCAATGCGAGGCTCCGGATGGGTTTTTGTTTGAGGTGGCCGTCAGTACGTGATTGATCCCAAGGATTACTGCAATCAGCCAGACAAAAACTCTGAATAACAGTGACATGGAAAAGGGTTTTGATCAAGGGATGTTTGGATTATGGCCAGCCACACCAACTGTGGCGATGTTATTGGACGCCACAGTTGTGGCAGAATCTCAGTATGTGAAAAGCTATGGCCACTAAAGATAAATCACCAACCAAACATCGAGCTGTGGCAGCGTGTGGCGTGGCGCGCGATGGCTGGAAACCAAACGCGCCAGTTGGCAGAAGAACAGAGCATGTGGTTGTTCGTCAGCTCACCTATCGTATCAGCCAAGCATAATACAGTGTTTTCCTGCCGTATAATAAAACAGCATTGGCCGAGTCTTCCGTATAATAAAATAGCTCAGAAAGGATCAAACGAACAGTCGCACGCACGCACGCACACTGGGTGTGTTTGGTTGTCCATAAGGGCAGACCAGGCTCCCCGGATATAGCCTGCTCATGTTTGGTTCTCTGGTCACCCTCCCGAGCCAGGCTCTGTTCGTGCAAAAGCCCCCTCCTGGCCTGGCTCGCGAGGAACGCCCAAATCAGCCGTTTTTCTTCAGCCTGGCTCGCTCCGTGCTCCCACGAGCTTGCGCGCCTGGCGATTCCGTGCGCGGGGAGATGGCGCGAAGATCCTAGGGTTACCTACCCTGTTCCTGCCATTCACCGCCTATATATCTTCCCTCCCGCCGTCTCCCTCTCTTCTTCTTCTTGTCGCTCCCCGTCTACGCCGCCGATAAGCTCCACCTCCTCTTCCTCCTTCCCCCGGTGTTCTTGATGGATTTGTGGCCTCCTAATGCCTACCCTCTTTCACGATTTGTTGCAGTGCCGTGGATTTACGTCCTCTCGAAGCACGTGATTTTTTCCCCTTCTCTTTCTCCATTTTTTCTGTGCGATTGGAAACCCTAGGTCACCATTGTTTGTTGATCTCGGTGCAGGCACACCAGATCTGATTTCTTGGCTGTTATTGCGGTATGGATCCTTGTTCTTAGGTCTCATTTTTTTTCTTGTTTTTTTCAAGTAAAAATCCTATTTTGTGTATGCTAATGCTCTTTTCTTTTCTTGTGGGCTTTTGCTGGTGCTGCTGCTTGTTGACGTGGGTATAGTGAGTCATAATCTGTACCGTACGATAGTGGGTCCTGCGTTCTTAGATTCGGATGCATGTCCTACTTTGTGAGATTATGAGCAAGTATATGAAGTTGCCATTTTATCTAAGCTATTGTCCAAGTCTGTGATGATTCCTTTTGTCCTGAGCTATTTCCTTAGTCTATGATGATGCCTTTTTTCTGAGCTATTGCCCTAGTCTATGATGATGAAAGTCTTATTTTTAGCATGTTCTAGTATATGATGAATCCTTTTTATTCATGGACAAATGTTGTTTTTTTCATCTGATACTACACTTATGCTGAGGCTTTGGGCACGTGCAATGATGATAAATTTTCTGTGATACTACACTTATGCTAAGACTTTGGGCATGTGCAATGATGATAAATTTTCTGTGATACTACACTTATGCTGAGACTTTGGGCATGTGCAATGATGATAAATTTTCTGTGATATTACACTTATGCTGAGGCTTTGGGCATGTGCAATGATGTTTTTTTCTTGACATAATACACCTGTGTTGAGGCTCTGGTCATGTGCAATGATGAATTAGGCTATGGCTGAGGAGATGATGCCTGCTGATGAGCTTGTGTTCCCTAGACTGAGCCCATGTCTGCCTTTGTGCTGAAGCAGATGTGCCAACTCATTACCACTGTAGTGAGGACTGATAAGGGCTTCAAAGAAGTGCACCTGAACAAGGTGGCATAGGCCCTGCAAGAGTTCTGTGGTCATGAAGTTAGTGGTACCTAGGTGTACAACCACCTGAGGAAGTGGAGGCAGAGGTGGGTGAAACTGTCCAAGCTGAGGGACCTTAGTGGAGTTCAGTAGGATGAGGACAACTGCAACTGCATGATTGTTCTTGAGGAAGAACACTATAATGGTCATACCAAGGTGAGTAAGAACCTGTGATACTATAACTTGATTTGTTAGATGACTCTTTGAAACATTTTATTATTATGGCTAACAAGGGACAATTCATTATGCCTGTGATGCTTTATCACTGAACTGAGCATTTGTCTATTGCCTGTGATGTTTTTGGATTGATCTGAGCACATGTTCATTGCCTGTGATGTTTTTTGATTGATCTGAGCACATGCCCATTGCCTGTGATGTTATTTTGATTAATCTGAGCACATGTTCACTGCCTGTGATGTTTTTTTATTGATCTGAGAACATGTACAGCTATGGCTTGGTATGTTATTCATGTTGGGAAGGAGCCTAGGGTCTACTCCAGCTGGGCCGAAGCACATGCTCAAGTAGATGGTTTTAAGGGAAACTACAACAAAAAAATACAAAATAAGAAATGAAGCTTTGCTAGTTTTCTATGGTGATCAACCTGAAAATCCACCTCTCCTCCAACTTGTCAGTGCACCTCTACTAGAAAATGATGGAAATGATAATTTTCGCTTGTGCCACAATTCATTTATACTTGTAACAGCAGTAGTTATTGCCTTGCTAGGAAGTTTTTTCATTTGGAAATTGATGTAATATCTTATGTCTATTAGTGGGTGGTAATGTTACCACTACATGTAAGAGATAACTACAACTTATTATATATAGCCAACCAAATAATGATCCATACATGGACTTTTTAAATCTATAAATACATGCATGCAACCAAATACTATCTCAGCCCAGCCTAATTTCATAGATACATGCAACCAAATAACCCTGGTTACAAGCATCTGGTCTGGACAAATGCAGCATGGTTGCCTAGAGCTGGCCTGGCTGGGCTGGGAAGGGTACCAAACACGCCCTGTGTTTCTCCCCTCTGTACGGACAGGTAGGTCCTCCTCGGTCTCGTCACGTCAGATGCCCCTGTAGGCTGTAGGTGTAGGCCACCCCACACCACCCGCATTTCGACATAAACGCTGCCTCCCTCGATCCCGCGCCCCGCTCAAACCATCGACGGCCCCCAAAAGCGAAACCCGAGACCGCCACCACCTGGCAGCCGCAGCAGAGAGCGCAGAGCCACACGCGCGCGCGCGCGGCCATCATGGCGCCGGCACCGTCCTCCTCCAGGATCCTCCCCCTACGCCCCGCCGTCCAGTACTTCCTCCTCCTCCTCTTGTCCATGCAGGTCGCCGCGGCCGCCGCGGCCATGGACCCCGCCGAGCGGGAGACGCTGCTCCGCGTCATGGAGTCCCTCTCCGCTGACCGCGACTGGCGCGAGGCCGCCGGCGACGACCCCTGCGCCTCGCCGTGGCCGGGGCTCGAGTGCAGGCCCGGGACCACTACTCCCGGCGCCAACAACGGCAGCGGCGCGGCGCGGATGCACGTCGCGCGCCTCGACTTCGGGGTGCCACCGAACCCGACGTGCAAGGACACGGCCACGTTCCCTCTCGCCGCGTTCGCGCTGCCGGAGCTCCGGGCGCTGTTCCTCGTCGGCTGCTTCAAGAACCCCGACGCCGTGGCCGCCTTCGCGCTGCCGCCGGCGTCCAACCTCTCGTCGTCGCGCCTGCAGCAGCTCAGCGTCCGCGCCAACCCGTCGCTGTCCGGCACGCTGCCGCCGCAGCTGGCCAGCCTGCGGTCGCTGCAGGTGCTCACCGTGTCGCAGAACGCGCTAGTCCGGGGCGCCGTCCCGCGGGGCATCGGCGCGCTCGCGGGCCTCGTGCACCTCGACCTCAGCTACAACTCCCTCACGGGACCGATCCCGAGCGCGCTCGGCGACCTGCGCGGCCTCGTCGGCCTCGACCTTAGCTACAACTCCTTCTCTGGCCCCATCCCGAGCCGCCTCGGCGACCTCGCCCAGCTGCAGAAGCTGGACCTCAGCTCCAACAACCTCACCGGCGGCGTCCAGGCCGCGCTCACCCGCCTCAAGGCGCTCACCTTCCTCGCGCTCAGCAACAACGGGCTCCGCGGCCGCCTCCCCGCGGGACTCTCCGGCCTCCGCGACCTGCAGTACCTGATCATGGAGAACAACCCGATGGGCGTCCCGCTGCCGCCCGAGCTGGGCAACATCGCGCGGCTGCAGGAGCTCCGGCTTGCCAACTCCGGCTACTCGGGCTCCATACCGGACACGTTCGGCCTCCTGTCCAGCCTCACCACGTTGTCGCTGGAGAACAACAACCTCACCGGGCGGATCCCCGCGGGGCTCAGCCGGCTGAAGCGCATGTACCACCTCAACCTCAGCAAGAACGGGCTGGACGGCGTCGTCCCGTTCGACGGCGCGTTCCTCAGGCAGCTCGGCCGGAACCTGGACCTGAGCGGCAACCCGGGCCTGTGCGTCGCCGACCGGGCCGTCGTGCCGGACGTGGGCGTCGGAGTCTGCGGCGACGACGTCGCCTGCGAAACGTCCGCCGCCGCGGAGAGCTTGGTCGTCGGGAGAGTGGTCAGGGGAGAGGTGACGAGGGGTCGCTGGCCAGCCGGGCTGCTCAGGCCCGCCGTTGTAGCGCTGTGCAGCTGCCTTCTGCTCTGAACTTCTGATCATTCAGCGTGGCCGCGTGGGTGCATTCCATGCAATTCTTTGGCTTGAACTTGCATTGTTTGCACCGGTTGATCTCTGATTCTCTGTACGTAGTAGTTGTGTTGCTGTAACTTGCGATGCTGATTGTGTGATGTCTGAGACTGTCACCTATGGATGATCATGTGGAGATCTAAACCTAAAATGGATCGTGGATGGTACTGTATCCGTCTCTAACAAAATATCTATATGCGAGATCTATTTTGGATACAGTAGAGACACAATTTAAATATAAGTATCCTCTTGAAGATTTATTTGCAGAAATTGTTTTATCTTTAGGTTCGGTTACTGGAGAAAATAGAAATAGATATTAAACTATTTGTATCTAAATATGGAACGAGTCTTATATTTACTTTGTTGAAGATAGCGTGAGGAGTGTAGTTGCGCCTCGTGACAAGAAGTCCTTCAAGTGAAGTGTGAAGACCGGAGAGCTAGGATGACGACGTTTGTGCGTGATTGATTGGCACACACGTGGGGTTTGTCGGATCACTTCACTTCATTCATTCACTTTTGTGCAGATAGTGGTCGTGGGCCCCAGCGGTCAACGGATGCACCGAGCGCGTGACTTCTCGCAGCAATCAGCGAACAGACTTTTCAGTCTGATTTTTTAGCGAAGCATACAAATAATCTCTCTCATAGTCTCATTTGACATTAAAAAAAATAATCTCTCTCATTTCCGTCTGCCAATATAATAAAGTGCTGATTGGTACCTTTGTCGTCACTCATCAAACACGCGCTGTCTGCGGTTAGAATAGTCATAAAAAATAAAACACACGTCGTGAACGGTTAAAACTTTTCCTCCTCCATCTTCCATTATTAAAACCGGCTTTCGTTATCTTTTGCTTCGTCAATTTCGAATTATAAGATATTTTAATTTTTTTAACTACATTTCTTTTACTATATCTACCTAGATCTAACCCCCTGGGGCGCCGTCCCCGTCGCCGGCCTCCCGCCTCCACCACCGCTCATCTCTCTCTCTTCCGCCTCCAGCAAGTCGTCGGAGCAGAAGGGAGTGGAGATCCATCTTTCTAACAGGTTTCGGTAAGATTGTGTTCTGTTAGGTTAGGGTCTCTCAATGCAAAGTTTCTTGGTATTTGGGATTTATTTCCTCCTCTTCTTAGGCAACGACGGGAAGGTAGAGTAGATTTAGTTTCTCCATGGCGACTCTGATAAACTTGAGGGCGACAACTACAACGTCAGCAGCTTCCTTGTCATGACGACATAGAGAATTAGGTTTCTAAACAGTGACATCAAGACGGAGATGATGTTGCTGCCGTAAAATGATTTTCTCCGGTCTTTTTTCTGTTTTGTTGTTGTTAAATCTGACCACGATGAACGACTAGTGAAAATAAGTCTGTCCATCAAGCCGATTGCTTTTTTTTTGCGAATTACACGAGTACAAACGTAGACGCTCACAACACGCACATATACTCACCCCTATGAACACACACGTAAACCCTACCCATATGAGCACCTCCGAAAGACTGTGCCGGCACATCTCGAGATTGACGAAGTCACTACAGGCGCCTCGCTGTCGAAGGAAACGTCGCCTACTATTGAAAGCAAAACGCCGTTAATCCTAGAATAAATCTAGAAAAATGCGAGCACCTGTGCCAAGTCGAGGATTTGAACCCGTGTGGCCAGATTTCACCACAAGGAATCTAACCAACTGAGCTGAGAAGATTTAGATCAATTTTCCTTATTCTTAGTTGGCGGAAGGAAAAGGAAGGAAGACACAAGAAATAAAGTTTATGCTCAACTCCACCTATAGGAATGTTGGCCGCCGTTCGTTGAGCACATGTTCGTAGCCTTTTTGCTATGTGTTTACATGTGTGGTCATCGGTACATGAATCGCCATACATGTTTGTGATTGAGATTTAGAGTTATACGAACCGTGTGTACAATATAGATGAAGAACAATTCCTAGATATATGTATTGTATTTTTAGAGTCTTTGTAACAAAACTACGTATCTAAAGAAATGAAACCGTAAAACAATTTACAACCATTGATATCCCGGTTCATATGGACTCACTCGAACCCAACCATCGATGGGTGAAATGATATGATAGCTGAATAGATAATGGCGAGGTAGTGTTTGGATTCTTAGGCTTCACATTAAATGTTTGGAGGCTAATTAGAAAGACTAAATATGAGTTAATTCTAAAACTAATTGTAGAAGCCGTGGATTAATTCATGAGATGAATATATTAAACTTATTTAATTCATTATTAGTGAATGTTTACTGTAGCACCACATTATCTAATTATAAATTAATTAGATTTAATAGATTTGTCTCGCGTGAGAGTACTACTGGCCAGGCCTTCACCCTTCTTCAGGCCTGTGCTCACGTGGGCGTGGACGCTCCTGGATTAGCATAATAGCAGGTGTGGATTGGTGTTGGTGGATCGTGTGGGCGTGTCATTGCCCAGCAGTCTCAGGCGCTGCCCCGCCGAGCATCAGCCCTCACCCAGCAGTCTCAGTAGGAGGCCAGTGTGGGCGGTGGACACTGCACAGACGGACGGACCGACGTCTAGTTCAGCGTGCCTTTTCATGCGGTCGCTGCCCGTCTCTGTGCTTCATGTGCTGGTTCGGCAACTTTGCAGGGAGATTGACGGCACTTGCCTCTGGTCGCTACCACTGTTTGTATGGGTACGGCCGTACCTCCTGATCAGCCAAACAACAGCAGTACGTTTAAAAAACGCAATTCTAATTTTAAACCGACCGTGTGTTCAGATTCGAAGCTAGAGTTTCAATTTTTCTTGGACGGAGAGAGTAACAGTACAATAATATTCTACAGGACCGCTAATGGTCTTTTTATGGGTTAGTCTGCCACTGCCAGTGTCATTGTGCGGTGGCAACAGTCAACAGCCAGTCAGCAATGAAAACTCGTGTTCTTATCAGAGAACAGTACCCCTCAGCAAAATACAACAGTTCAACTAGTTTTTTTTTACTCAGCAAAATACAACAATTCAACTAGTTTTTTTTATACACTTTTCCTCCCTCTCAGGCGCCTGAACGTTCAGGCGATCTGTGACTGTTGGCAGTCACTGTGTTGCACATGAGGGAATACTAATAGTTAGGAGTATGACTGTTGCCTGAAAAACTTCTTTTTTTTTTACCTGAAAAACTTCTATATTTCAGACATCTGAAATATATCATATATCCCTTTTTTATCTGGATGAAAAAACACAAAGAAGATGCGATCAAACTTCGCAAAAGCAGATTTGTTAGGCCGGGAGTAGTAGATTAGGCCTACTTAGGAGCCCGTTTACACATGTCCAGCCCAGCTATCTGAAAACTGCGTACGCGCGTTGTATTGTCTTGGGCCTTATAGCCCAGCCCGCCCAAGACGCCTTCCCTCGGCTGTTTTTCCTTCTCTGCCAGCCGCGCCGCCGCCCGCCCGCCCGCCTCCGTCTCTGCCAGCCGCCGCGATGGAGGCGCTCCACGAGGAGCTGCCCTTCGACCTCGACTTCCACCCGTCCTCACCCCTCGTCGTCACCTCCCTCATCACCGGCGAGCTCTGCCTGTACGACCTCCGAACCACACACACACTAAACCCTATCCCTTTCCAAGTTTCCCGTTCCGGTTTGCTTGTTCTTACCGCCACAGAGTAACCGCTTCCAATCTGGTTGGTTTCACAGGTTCGGCTACGGCCCGGAGTCGCAGCCTGAGAGGTACTCACGGAAGCTCTGTTACTGCTCCTGCTCTGTTAGTTTCACACTTGGAATTCCGCCTTCCGGTGCTCGGCACCTTGTTGCTTTGCTTGTGGCATCAGATTAGTGTTCCTTGGTTTTTGCTTAGGTGTGTCCACAGTTATGTAACTCTGTAGTTGAGTTGAATTGAATTGCAACGGTAGAAATATCATATGTTTAGTGCATTCGGTGGTTATGGAGTCTGTCATTGAGGTTATGCACCCATGCTTTGGCAACTCGAAGATTGATTCCATATCGTAGAGATTGATCTCACTTCGTTTTTGTTTGATACTAAGGTTATTTTCGGTGAAAGCTCACAAGGAGTCATGCAGAGCTGTTCGTTTTGTGGACTCAGGAAAAGGTAATGCCTTGTTGCCTTTTCTTATCGAATGCTCTTATATACCTGCCAACCTGTGAACCCACTTGCACTATGTTTTATGGATTATTATATTCTGATCTTTGTTTCTAATTCTGCTATGCTTAAAAAATGATGCTGCAAAATTAGCTGCTTTAAGCTGGCAATGACAAACTGGAACTAATTGGGAGGGGAGCACACCTTGATGCATCCTGTTGCATACCTTACGTCCTCTAACCGTTTCCTGATGGTTTTCTTGCTGTTGTGATTTGGTCCAGTGATTTTGTCGGGGTCAGCTGATTGCTCAGTCCTTGCCTCAGATGTAGAATCAGGCAAGGCCATTGCCCGCTTGGAGGATGCACATGAGTGAGTTTTGTTAGTTTTCAGTCCTAGTATTTATTTTGTTTGCGGAACTAAACATTGGCCCATTTGTAACTTGATTTTAGGAACGCCATAAACCGCCTTGTCTGTCTTACTGAGTCTACGATTGCCACAGGTGACGATGAAGGCTGCATTAAGGTATGAAGCAGTAAGTCTGCTGGCCTAAGATATATAGGTGTTAAAATAAAGTTCAGTTTCATCATTTTGTTTCCAGTACCTTGACATTTTGGGGTCATACGAAAATAAGCATTAACAAGCTTATTTATATAACAATGCTTGTACCAAGGATACTAAAATCCGTGTTACAAAAATGTTCACTTATGTCTGTTTTTGGGCTTAAGTGACGTTTATGAGATGGCTCCTTTTGCACACAAAATTTGTTTTATATGCAATTATCTTGTATTAGATGTATAATGTAGTTTTTGACTTAGTTATCCTCATTCTTTTAATTTTAGGTATGGGATACCCGGGAACGATCTTGCTGCAACAGTTTTGAAGTCCATGATGATTACATTTCAGATATGACCTATGTGGCTGACTCAAATCAGATACTGGCCACAAGGTTTAACTAGATTCCCTGCAGTTGATATGTATCAAACACAGTTGAAACATTGTCTGTATGGCAAACAACTAAAGATGATCACCGATCGTATTATTTTATTTCCTTTTTTTTTTTTGTCATGAAGCAGGCATAAATACTCCTGTTTTTAGTTCTGCACTTAACTGCTCTGCTACTTCATGCGGAGTAGTTATTAAGTAATTTGACGATGTGATTTTTTTATACCAATTAACAAAAAACATTCTATGAGTCACTAAAGATGTTTTTATTTGCAAAACGTTTGCATGTCAAATTTATCGACGTCTATTCTGTGCATGATACAATATGCAACAATATGGTAACCAAGGGTTAAACAATCTTTGTTTTCCTTGTAGTGGGGATGGAACTTTGTCTGTGAACAACCTGCGGAGGAATAAAGTGAGTTACCTTTGGAGTACATCGAGTCTTGCTTCCAGTGTGTTGAATTCGTGTTTTAGGACTTCTTATCTACGGTTATCATTTACCGATGAATTATTGTAAGTTAACTTGCAATCTTTAACTGTTTTTAATTTAATACCAGGTAAGGTCACGATCTGAATTTTCAGAAGATGAGTTGCTATCCTTGGTGGTAATGAAGGTACCTATGTTTTGCAAACAGTTTTTGCTAGCAACATTTCTGTCCTGTTGTCATGATAATTGAATTTTATCTTATTCTTTGTGATTCTTAGAATGGTAAAAAGGTTGTTTGTGGAACTCCAAGTGGAGCACTCTTATTATATTCATGGGGATACTTTAAGGATTGCAGGTAACCTTGTTTTCATCACACAACATTAACTGCTGAAATAAAATAGCAAAAAGATAAAACTTCACGAATGAAACTATTTTGTCTAATGCTATTTGTATAGTACTCCCTCCAATCTAAATTATAGTTCACTTTGCCTTTGTCCTAAGTCAAACTTCTTCAGTTTGACCAAGATTTTACAAAAAATATAGTGACACCTACAAGACAAATGCATTATCAAAACTTATTTCATGAAGAAGTTAACGAAACTAATTTAATGTTGTAGATGTTGGTGTTTTTGTCTATAAACTTGGTTAAAGTTAAAGTTTGACTTCGGACAAAACCAAAGTGAACTATAATTGGAACGGAGGGCCCCCATCATTCCATCAACGTAGTTCTCTGGATGCGGCGTTCCCTAATATTGTGATGCCTAAATATTGCTTGTATGTTTCCTACCAATATTTTCTCTAATCATCATTGTAATTATCATAGGTGGGAGCTTTTTTGTTCTTATGGGTAATTTGATAAGTAGCTTTATTGGACCAAGTGTAATTCACTTTCTTCGATTATTCCAATTTGCAAAGATCTTGTGATCAGTAGCTCCTTAGAAGGATCTTGACATCTAATATTCGTAGCTTCCTAAACATGCCACTATAAGATGCCTGTCATGTGGGGGCGCCATTACTCCCGCAGGCAGCGCAAGACCAGGGCCACTGATGGCTCCAGCAAGGCCTAGGCGCATGGTGACTGCCCTCAGATGGCGCCCAGAGCAAATCAAGGAGAGCAACATGCAAGGAAGGCTAAGTTTAGGGGATTTATAGCTTTCAATTCTTATCTTTGAATGGGCCTAAGAGCCTATATACAGTGGCTGTAATCAGACGTGAAGGGGGGAGAAAAATGAGAAACCAATTTCCTAATCTTCCTATGCTGTCTTAATCTCACCTCTTCACCATTGGGCGTCCTGGAGGAAAACCTCAGCGCCAGTACCAACTCTGGTTACGAACTCTGTAGCCGAGGACCTCCTGTCTTGGGCCTGAACGCCCTTGACAACCTGGTATCAGAATCCAGACGATCCTCATCCACCTCCACCACCCCGCCACTGACCCTCACCACGCACGCGCCACCATCTCCAACCGGATCGGTGACATCAGCCATGGCCGAGCCGACCGCTGCTGAACTAGCCACCATCGTCGCCAACCTCGCCAAGACCGTCGAGAACCTGACAGCCAAGGTGGACGCCATTCAGCAGGCGTCTCCAGCGGCTGCTACATCGTCCGGCCATAAGGGAACCGGCTCCGGCGAGCACCACAATGATCACCCGCCGCGTTTCCAGAAGATGGACTTCCCCCACTACGATGGCAAGTCTGATCCATTGTCCTTTATCAATCGTTGTGAATCATATTTTCACCAGCAGAGAATTGTGGAGGAGAAGGTGTGGATGGCTTCCTACAATTTGGAGGACGCTGCACAAATGTGGTACATCATGGTTCAGCAGGACGAAGGCACACCACGGTGGCACCGCTTCACCGAGCTGCTCCACCTGCGGTTCGGACCTCCCCTGCGATCCAAACCCCTGGGCGAACTCATGGCGTGTCGCCGCACGGGCTCCGTCATCGAGTACCAGGATCGTTTCGAGGCGCTCCTTCCTCGAGCGGGTCGCCTCGACGAGGAGCAGCGGGTGCAGATCTTCACAGTGGGGCTACAGCCTCCGCTAAGCATGGATGTGGAGATTCACAATCCCCAGTCCCTCGCGGTCGCGATGAGCATCGCGCGGAAGCTGGAGATGCGCGATCAGTACGCCGCGGCGCTCGCACCCCCACCCGCGCCACCGCGACAGCAGCAGCGGGCCCTGCTCCCCGCGCCCCAGCGGCAGCTCGCCCTGCCGGCACCTCCGCCACCAGCGGCCAACCCAGCGAACACGGTCACGGTGGAGGGCCGGCCGGTTCGCCGCCTGTCCGCGCCGGAGATGAGGAACGCCGCCGCCAAGGACTCTGCTTCAACTGCAATGAGAAGTTCGGTCGCGGGCACAATCGCGTGTGCCAACGACTCTTCTTCCTCGACAACAACCTGGCCGAAGCGGACGAAGAGGAGGACGCGTTGCCCGCGGCCGTAACCCCCGACGCGCAGGATCCCCTGATTTCCCTCCACGCGATCGCAGGGGTCCACACCAGCGATACGATGCAGATGCGGTTGCGCATCGTGGACGTCGACCTCCTCGCGCTCATCGACTCGGGGTCCACCCACAACTTCATCACCGAGGACGCCGCCAACCGCACCGGCCTAGCCATGGTTCGCCGCGGCTCGGCCTCAGTCACCGTCGCCAACGGGGAACGGGTCCCCTGCAACAGCGTGGCCAAGCTCGCCGCGTTCTCCATCGACGGCGAACACTTCACCGCCGACCTCTTCGCGCTACCACTGGCGGGCTATGACGTGGTGCTGGGCACCCAGTGGCTCGCCACGCTCGGCCCCATCCTCTGGGACTTCGTCGCCCTGACCATGTCGTTCTGGCACAAAGACCACCAAGTCTGCCGGCATGGAGCGGCCACCGCATCAGCACCCAGTCTCCGTTCCTGCTCTGGCCGGGGATCTGCTCGACGCTGTGCTCCATGACTACGCCGACGTTTTCTCCGAGCCGCGCGGTCTGCCGCCGCCGCGATCCCGCGACCACAACATCGTCCTGCAGCCGGGTGCCGCGCCAGTCGCCGTGTGGTCGTACCGCTACCCGGCCTCGCACAAGGACGAGCTGGAACGCCAGTGCACGGACATGCTGCAGCAAGGGCTCATCCGGCCCAGCTCCTCCGCGTTCTCCTCCCCCATCCTCTTGGTGAAGAAGGCGGACGGTTCCTGGCGGTTCTGCATCGACTACCGCGCCCTCAACGCGATCACGGTGAAGGACGCGTTCCCGATTCCGGTGGTCGACGAGCTCCTCGACGAGCTCCACGGCGCCAAATTCTTCACCAAACTCGACCTGCGCTCGGGTTACCATCAAGTGCGGATGAACCCCGACGACATCACCAAGACGGCGTTCCGCACCCATGATGGCCTGTATGAATTTGTGGTTATGCCGTTTGGTTTGTGCAATGCGCCGGCAACTTTTCAGGCACTGATGAACGACGTCCTGCGGCCTTACCTCCGTCGCTTCGTCCTCGTCTTCTTCGACGACATCCTCATCTTCAGCTCCACTTGGGTGGATCACCTACGTCACGTCCGCACCGTCCTCGACACGCTGCAGCAGCACCGGCTGTTCGTGAAGCGGTCCAAGTGCGCCTTCGCCATGGAGTCCATCTCCTACCTCGGGCACATCATCTCTGCAGGTGGGGTCGCCATGGACCCAGCCAAGGTGCAGGCGGTCCGTGACTGGCCTACACCCCGTTCGGCTCGCGCCGTTCGCAGCTTCCTCGGCCTTGCGGGATACTACGGCAAATTTGTGCGCGACTACGGCACAATCGCCACCCCGCTCACGGCGCTGCTCAAGGAGGGCTTCCTGTGGTCCAGCGACGCCACAGAAGCTTTCGACACACTGAAGGCGGCCATCACAGCCGTGCCCGTGCTGGCACTTCTGGAGTTCGACCGGCCGTTCGTGGTCGAGTGCGACGCCTCCACTCACGGCTTCGGCACCGTAGTGCTGCAGGACAGCCACCCGATTGCTTACTACAGCCGGCCAGTCGCCCCTCGACACCGCTCGCTGGCCGCCTACGAACGCGAGCTTATCGGGCTCGTCCAGGCCGTACGCCACTGGAGGCCATATCTATGGGGTCGCCGCTTCCTGGTAAGGACTGACCATTACAGTCTCAAATTCCTGTTGGATCAGCGCCTTGCTACGATTCCGCAACACCACTGAGTAGGCAAGCTGTTGGGCTTCGACTTCTCAGTCGAATACAAGCCTGGCGCCTCCTACACTGTGGCAGACGCCCTGTCACGCAGGGACACGGAGGAAGGCAGCCTCCTCGCCATCTCGACGCCACACTTCGACTTCGTCGACCGCCTCTGCCTGCTGCAGACATCTGATCCCGCCCTGGTTGCCCTCCGCGACGACATTGTGGCTGGCCAGCAGGGGACTCCGTGGTCTGTCATCGACAACATGGTGGCGTACAACTCCAGGCTGTACATTCCGCCTGGAGCTGGTGGCCGCGATCCATGAGGACGGCCACGAGGGGGTGCAGCGCACGCTGCATCGACTTCGGCGTGATTTCCACGCTCCCAACCTGCGCACTGTGGTGCAGGACTTCATCCGCGCCTGCTCAACTTGCCAGCGGTACAAGTCAGAACACCTTCACCCTGCAGGTCTGCTGCTACCGCTCCCTGTCCCAACCATGGTGTGGGCGGATATCGGCCTGGACTTCATCGAGGCACTGCCAAAGGTGGGTGTCAAGTCGGTCATCTTGACGGTGGTTGACCGCTTCAGCAAGTATAGCCACTTCACCCCCCTCGCTCACCCGTACACGGCGGAGACGGTCGCCCAAGCTTTCTTCAGCGACATCGTTCGTCTCCATGGGATTCCGTAGTCCATGGTGTCGGACCGCGACCCGGTGTTCACATCGAAGTTCTGGAGCGAACTCATGCGCCTCTCCGGCGCCAAGCTACACATGTCGTCGGCCTTCCATCCCCAGTCTGATGGCCAGACTGAGGCCATCAACAAGGTGATCAGCATGTACCTGAGGTGCTTCATCGGAGATCGTCCTCGCCAGTGGCTGCGCTGGCTGCCGTGGGCGGAGTTCATCTACAACACGGCGTACCAATCGTCTCTCCAAGACACTCCGTTCAACATCGTCTACGGGCGCGAACCCCCCACCATCCACTCTTATGAGCTGGGTGAAACCAGAGTCGCTGCCGTCGCCAAGAACATGGCGGACCGCGACGAGCTGCTGGCTGATGTGCGCTACCGCCTGGAGCAGGCCCAGGCCGTCGCCAAGCGGCACTACGACAAGCGCCACCGCGCCGTCTCCTACGCCGTGGGCAATTGGGTTTGGCTGCGTCTACACCACCGCCCTGCAGCCTCGCTGCAAGCTCCAACCAAGGGGAAGCTGAAGCCTCGCTACTATGGGCCGTACTGCATCACCGAGCTCATCAACCCGGTGGCTGTCCGCCTTGATCTCCCACCCCGCGCCCGTCTTCATGATGTGTTCCATGTCGGCCTCCTCAAGCCGTTCGTGGGGGTACCATCGGCTGCGCCACCGCCGCTCCCAGCTCTGCACCACGGAGCCGCTATTCTAGAACCAGAGAGCGCCGTCCGCACCAGGCTTGCCCGTGGCATCCGTCAAGTACTCGTCCAGTGGAAGAATGAACCAGCCTCCTCGGCCACTTGGGAGGACGTGGCCTCGTTCCTGGATCGCTATCCATCGTTCCAGCTCGAGGACGAGCTGCTAGTCGGGGGGTGGGGGGGGGGGGGGGAGATGTCATGTGGGGGCGGCATTACTCCCGCAGGCAGCGGCAGCGCAAGACCAGGGCCACTGATGGCTCCAGCAAGGCCTAGGCGCATGGTGACTGCCCTCAGATGGCGTCCAGAGCAAATCAAGGAGAGCAACATGCAAGGAAGGCTAAGTTTAGGGGATTTATAGCTTTCAATTCTTATCTTTGAATGGGCCTAAGAGCCTATATATAGTGGCTGTAATCAGACGTGAAGGGGGGAGAAAAATGAGAAACCAATTTCCTAATCTTCCTATGCTGTCTTAATCTCACCTCTTCACCATTGGGCGTCCTGGAGGAAAACCCCAGCGCCAGTACCAACTCCGGTTACGAACTCCGTAGCCGAGGACCTCCTGTCTTGGGCCTGAACGCCCTTGACAATACCAGTCTGCTTCCTTCACTTTGTGTGGTTTAGACCCAATTAATTCTGCAAGTGATGTGGTCTAAAATTGTTCACTGGCATGTCTTTTTGTGGTTAGTGACCGCTTTCTCGGACACACGCAGTCAGTGGATACAATGCTGAAGGTTCGTGGGACCCAAACTTTATTATGACAATTGTCATTTCTGCCCTATTTGTGTATTCATTCTTATTACGGGTCGGCTTCGTGTTCTAGCTGGATGAAGAAACTTTGGTTTCTGGTTCATCAGATGGTGTGATCAGGTTTGGAATTCACAGCTGTTGCTTTGTGTTAACTTCTCACTTCTCAGGCAATTGCCTGTTAGTCTGATGGATTGCTGTTCTAACATGAAATCCTTGTTATTTGTGTAGATTAGTGGGCATCTTACCTAATAGGATAATACAGCCACTTGCTGAACATTCAGAATATCCCATTGAGGCCCTTGGTATGTGCGTCCATTTGATTGTGAGATCTGGTGGAAAAACCCGGCATGTTCTTATGACATATTTATGCTATGCAGCTTTCTCAAACGATAAGAAATATCTCGGCAGCATCTCACATGATAAAATGCTGAAGGTGACAATCCTTTCTCATTCTTATTGTTGGTGTGCCCATTCGTTGGTCTGACTTGACATCTTGTTTGTCGTATATGCAGCTCTGGGACTTGGAAGAACTCTTGAATGGTCCACAGGTAGTCAATGGAGACGAACCTGCCGAAGCTGGTAGCGATGATAGTGATGACGATAGCGATGATGATGCGATGGATGTAGACATGGCCGCAACTTCTTCTAAAGGTGAGATTTTATTGAACTATGCTGTGTGCCATTAGCATGATAATCCTGCCTTTTGGGTTCACATTTCTTCTCTGAAAGCTGTTTCTTATCTTCTCACTGGGGGGTGTTCAGGGTCAAGGAGTAAAAAAGCGGGTAAAGGACAGAGTTCAAGTAGGCCGGCATCGGATTTCTTTGCAGATCTATAGACGTCAAGTTCCAAGTTAGAAGCTGCGAGTTGTACTTTTTTTTTGGGTTACTGTACGTGAGTGCGAGTGGCCAACTTTGACTGCCGGTGCAAGGCATGCCAAATGTTGTTTTTTTAAAAATGTTGGCTGATGGAATATTAGTAGCAGCAGCAGTAAGTGTTGTGGGTTGTCTCCCAGGAAACAGGACCTCGTTGCAGTATGTTCTGCACATATCTCTACTATAATGGAGCAATCAAAATTGTACTAGGTCCCCCTAGGAAAAATTCCTCCGGTGAGAGCCTCCAACTATTGTGCACCCAGAAAAATGCACTCAGTAATTCATCTGCATTAAAATCAAGGGCTAATAAAACACCTAAATCAAATCCAATGACCACAATTAGACGTGGGATGCCAGGCTTCTCACCCCCGCGCCCTCCTCGCACGCCGCGACCCCCTCGGCTGCCAGGGATCGAATCCCACACTCAACGCCTTTTTTCAGAAAAAATGAAATATCAATGCTCCTCGTGGGTGACCGCGCGCGTGCACCGGGATGCGCCCCAACCGCCGCCTGCGAGTCCAGGCGTGAGGAGGGCGCGGTTGCCGGGATCTCAAGCACCGCCACCTTCGCGTGCGGCTGCCGGGATCGCATGGGGCGCCACCTCCGCGCCGCTAACTCTGTGCTGATGGTTGGGATGAGGCGGAGCGCCGCGGCGAAGTGCCCGGCGGCGGGGGAAGAGGAGGAGAAGGGCGCGCTGGCGCCCGCGGAGGACGCGGAGGCGTGTCCGGTACCGGGAGCGGGTGACGATCTCGCATCGTAGCAGCCTCCGAAGCGTGCCAAGGTGCTGATCTCCCTCCATCCCCATGCATGTGGCTCGTTGAAGTCTCTGGTTTTGATCTGATTTTTGATGTTAGTGCGGTCTCGCTCGAGATAGGTTGGGTGCACGGAGGCGGATACCGCGAAGCCGTCGGTGGCGGCGACGCGGGTCCACTGCCCAACACGGCTGCCCTGCAGGCGCTGACGGGCGCCATGGACAAGCTAGAGGCCCTCTTCAGGTGCAAGTAGGCTCAGTCCAATTGGGTCGATTTTTCACCAGTGCCTTCAATTTGGCTAGGAAGAAGAATCGATGGAGCTTCTTGCTGGGAATGAAATTTTATTTTATAGTATAATTGATTTGGTTGGCTGGACTCTGCAGTAAGGCTGATCACTACTTTGTTTGTGCAGGTGGAAAGAGTAAGATCGATTTGTTATCAGCCAGGAGTGCTTGCTGTTTTCTTGGTTCCTAAAAGGGTGCTTCCTGTGTATCAGGTACCAACACATGTAGGTGAGCCTTCAGACATTCAAGATTTCAAGTGGCAGCGTGAGTTTGTGTCAAAACATGTAATTCTTTCTGTGGACGTACTTTTACTACCAAATTATTTTCAGATACAATGTCCCATGGCCAAGTTCTGAGCCAACCTGTGCTTAGGCCACTCGATCTAGGAAACTATAGTATTTTAAGTTTTCAGTTAACTGGTTGGTTACCGATATACTTGCATTACGTCTCATTATTTATTTGCAGATTATTTTTCTAAAGAAAATATCATGCTCTTGATGTAATTTGCTTCATGCTATGTCATTGTCAATGATTAACAGTATGTTTTTTCAGAACAATTCCTTTATATGTTTGAGTAGATTAGTGCACTTGTTAGCTCATGTTGATGCTGGAAATGAGACGAAATGCAAAGTCAAGGGCATGAAGCAATCCGCAGAGGAGAACCCGCCGATCCGGTGGTGGAAGGGCAATCTTATAGGGAGTGGCGCGTTCGGCGAGCTCCTTGCTGTCAACCAGGTCGGTATGCATGCTTCCATCTCGAAGGTAGGTGTAACACCCCTGGTGTTAGGCTTGCATAATTGCACTTGCATTTCATGAACATGAGCATCATTCATCGATTCATGAGCTTATATCACATGAAACATGTTATCGAAACATTGCAACATGTTGTATATTTCATGAGTGTTGTTTTTTTTATGAAATGAATAATGTGCAGCACCCAAGTACAACATGTGCAACTCACTTTAGTGGAACATAGCTAGTTAGAGCATCAGCAGTGTATAGGATCGATCCTGGTTCTATCCCATGATTTGATGGCACCTGTTAAAAACGTAGCAATGTATAGAACCGACGTCAAACCTATAAATGGAGCCCACGACATTAAAAAAAGGCAGCCCAACTTGCGATGCTCGGTGACCAACAGGCCAACAGCGCCTGGTGCCGGTGCCCAGTGGCCCCCACCCCTCCTTTCTTTACGGGATGATTCTGCGGCAGGAGAGAGAATGGTGGATGGGAGCGGGTTCTATCCATCGCACCTGGTTCTTCAAAGAACCAGCGATGCAATGTATCGACCCAGGTCGATAAAATATAGGACCGGCATAGAACCGCACACTGCGGACGCTCTTAGTACGATGCAACAAGATCATGAAACATGTGAAACATGACTATAAAACAAAAGTAACATTTCAATTGTTTTTCATTGTTTCAGTACATTCAGTGCTTGATTCTTGTGTGACCAATGTGTGGTATGGCTAAATATATTTTTAAACAACTTAGCTATACTTAGAAGTTCATTAGGAACAATGTTCATGTTGATCATTTTGCCTAATTAAGTTTTCAAGTCATGGTTTGACTAGTGTTGACCTCTAGAGCTCTTTGGTTTGACTGTTTAAAAAGTACAACTTAGAGTCTATGCATGCCTGAGCAACCTAAAGCAAAGTTGTAGCAAATTTTATAAGGAACAAAAGTTATTTTATGACCAACTCATGAAAATGTGCACATCATGCTCAAAAAGGTCTCACAAGTCAGGATTTGGGGCTGTATTCAAAACTCTGAAAATTTTCTAAGTCTAAAATGCAATGTCAGTTTGATCGAGCTGACTTTGGCTTGATATAACTCGTGATCCGTTGAGTTTTAGCTGGTGATTTCTGAAGCATTGTTGTAGCCCTATCATAGCTCTACAACTTTCATGTACATTGCTTCCACTAATTCTTCATGGTTTAGACTAATTCTTCATGGTTTAGGAACTGTGTAGCGTTGAAAAGTGTCTGTCAGTCGGCTCATTGACCGCTGAATCGAAATTTCAGACTCGCTACAGTGCCGACCGATTTCAGAAAACCACTGCCGCGTGGCGTCACCCGTCGCCGGCCGCCTGACCGCGCAGGCCACGCGCCGCGGCCGTCCTGGCACTGTCGGCCATTGCTTGAACCCCCCCACGCGCATGCCCGACCGACTCACAGTCCGTTTTTCATTTCCTTCGCCTTCCACCGCGAGCAGCGTCGCTCCGCCATTGCCGAGCAGCTCCGCCGTCGCCTAGCTCGCTCGACCGCCGCAAAAACGCGACTGCCAGCTCGTCAACAGCTCCGCCGTGCCCTCCTCTACATCCTCCACCTCTTAGCTGAGCCGTTTGAGTCTTGGTAAGGGCACATTGGCCGTTTCCACCACCGCCCGCCATGACGGGGTCTCGCCAGAGTTGTAGCTCTACGCGGCCAACTACCACCAAGGCCTTCTCGTCCTCCTCTCTTTGTTTGGGTAGCACCGTAGCGACCCCTTGTAGCTCATGCCGAGCTCGGTTGAGGCAGCCATGGCTTGTCGTCGCCGACATCTCGTGCCGGAGCTCCGCCGTGCCGCCATCACCGGCGACGCGCCACCTCCGCTAGGTCTTAGGTCTCGCCGGTAGCACCAATCGAATCACCTCATCACGGAGATCACGCTGGTGCTTTCGGTGTCGACAGAGGAGCCACCGTCGGTGAGCTAGACCATCGCCGCGCCGTCGCGTGCCGTCTCCCCTGTTCTGTGTCGCTGACCAGCGGGCCCGGCTGACATGCGGGTCCCACGCGTCAGTGACAGTGTAGTGATAGGATAGTTCAAATTTACAGATTTCTATGCTGTTTTGTGAATTTTGTAACTACAAATGTGTAGATCCAAATGGTGTGATTTAAATTTTGTTAGACTCACAGAGAAGTCTAGTATTTAATAAAAATATGACATGAGCACATGATGTAGAAATTTTGGATGAATTAAATAGGAAACTGAAATGTGTTTTTATATGCATGCAAACTTGTTTAAATCATATCTTGAGTTTCTGTGATCCAAAAATTATAAAATTTTGTGGGTAAGCTAGTCTTGCTTAGTAAAAGCTCTGGTTAAAATTTGAGAGTCATTGCATGTATGATTTTTGAGTTATAGATTTTCCTTTTATCATTGATTGATACTTGTGTGAATTTTTGTAAATTATCTAGGAAGCCTATGACCATGAAACTTGGTGGGTAGTATCCTAGTACCTTAAGGATGTTAGGAAAAATATGAAATCTGTTGCTTGGCACTTTTAACTAAGGTTTTCTATTTATGTCTTTTTAAGCACTTATGCCTTGTCATTTTTGTGTAGGCTATTTTACTTATCCAAATGCCATGAAAATTTTATGGTAGTCTACTTAGAGTAGTACTATACTACTGTAATTTTATTAGATTTTTATAAGCATCAAAAATATATGTTGCTGTTGTAGCCCTAGTTTAAAATAAAATAAAATAATCCTCTTTAATGCGAGTTTAGTTAATAATGTTCGCTTTGGTGTATCTTTGAAGCATCTTAGTTTGCTGTGGTGATTTGGCATGTTAGTACAGTGGTTGTCGTAGTAGATAGTAGTACATGTTCTTGGATGATGTTGACTACCTTGTAGAAGAGCTTTGCTACTACTATGTCCAATAAAGTTAAACATGTTCATCTACATTTCATGCATCATGATTATTACATGTCATCTCTCCGATGCACCTATGCATTATCACTTATACATCTGCATCATACATGATCGCAGGAGGAGTTGCTAGTAGCAGTTCTGAAAGAGCAGACCGGGACAGATCCACAAGAAGTCCAGGCACAGGAGGTGCCAGAGGAAGAGGAGCAAGGAGAGGACTTGCTCGAGTGCGTGGATCATCAACCTAGTTCGTTCGAACGAGGCAAGCCCCGGAGCATTATAAGTCTCCTAATTT